CCCCCCCCCCCCTTATTTCTACCACCAACAAGGTAACATTTGCTAGGAATTAAAGGCATACTGAAGTTCAGAACACAACATTTGTGTATAACATTTTCAAATTTTCTCGCGACACAGGGATCTTAGACCTCTGGGAAAAAATATCCCCACCAGAAAAGAACATTTTGCCCTACTCCACACGGTGTCATTTTGAATACTGATTGCGAGGCACGCGAAAAGTTCGAATTGAATTGCAAATATACTGCCGACATTAAATATTCATCTTACTTGTGTCAGGATTTTTACACGTGGAGCTCGGAACTACGCTAGCCTGCTGGCTTTAAAGCCTCGAATTGCAGTTTTTCGGTCAGACAACGCTTCTTTAAACATGTCCTAGACAGGAAGAATATCTGAAAGTGGAAGTTAAAATGTTTGTATCTTAATCTTTGGTGCGTAACGGTTCTCGCTCCCGGGTTGAAGTCAGCGACGACATGTCAACAGATTGAAACCACGAGAAGACAGAAGTTTACTTTTTTGAACTCATGTAAGTCATTTAGCTTCTTCGGTAAAATTTCCGCACAGCCCCATACTATTGTAAAACAAATCTGTTTTACCAATGGCGATGTATTGTATTGAGCTGTGCGGAAATTTTACCCTTTTTTTCTCGGAAATTTTAATATTAATGATTAGTTGGTTATCACTTGCATGATTCCAAACCGAATTAGACTCTACTCAGTCCTATTACTATTACTAATCCCTAACGGTGATAAGCATCACATCTCTCTCAAAAGTATCACCCCTAAATCAAACCTTAAAGTCATGAGGATAAAGAAAATGATCACGAACTCGAAATGAAAGCTCTGAAACTTTTTAGTATCGTTAAAGGAAAGAAGAGCTGATGCTTTCTCAAAAAACATCGGATAGTAAGTGACTTTTTATGAACAGTGGAAGAAGAAGCGGTAAAATTTCCGCACAGTCCCATCCTACATTATGCATTCAGTTCTTGGATAGAGAAAACAATGACTAAAACAATACATCGCCATTGGGAAAACAGATTTGTTTTAAAATAATATGGGGCTGTGCGGAAATTTTACCAAAGGAAGAATAGCCAAGTTGTGAAAGAAAGAGAAATTTTGCATTGACCCTTTATACCCTAACATCAGCATGTATATTCTCCATACCGTTCTCTATACATTTCCTAATGTGCTGGCAAGGAGAATTTGATTAACAATCTAGAGGTTCTTCTGTCGATTGTCATTTCCTTTATTCTCATGACCTTAATGTTTGTTTCAGGGCTGATATTGTGAGGAGAAATTAGATGTTAGTCACTCTTAGGGATTATAGGGTTAAAAGAATGACAAAGGAGGCCTAAATTGTTTATTGGTTGTGATTGGTTGATTAAAAGTACTTTGAATGTGATTGGTGATTTAGTGTTAACAACTGGGTTGAAAACGTAAATTGGCCACCTTAAAGAGTTTAAAGGCTGACATTTCGAGCGTTAGCCCTCGACATTTGACGAGGGCTGACATTTCGAACGTTACTCTTCCCTCTGACGAAGGGCTAATGCTCCAAACGTCAGCCTTTAAACTCTTTACGGTGGCCAATTAACGTTTCAACTCGGTTTTTAACAATAAATTTACCCTGTTATAATCTCCCACCGACGCAGTACCACAGTTTCTTTAGAAACTTTTCAATCTCCTTTATTCATTTCAATGTGATTGGTTACTTTAAACTACAACTTTAAATGTGATTGGCTTACTGAACATGCTATCCGATAACAAACTGTCCGATAACAACTTAGCAAGTGAATTAGCTGAAAATAGGAGTTTCTTAAACCAATCACGATTGTGGAAATAGTTATTTTTTGATTAAAGGGATAAAAAAACAACACAAAATTATTTTATAATTATTTAAGGAATGATAATTTTTCGAAGAAGTGAGACAACAGTTATTGTCTATAGGCTGGTGGAGAATTTGGGGGATCGCAAGGGTTTTAGGGAAACGGACCGGGGATCGGTCATCGCGAACAGAGTATAGAGTGGGGTCATATGAATATAACAGAACTTTTAAGGGGGATGTATTAAGTGTTATTGTGACACAGCCAAAATCCTCCGATGAATAATGACAGGTCCCTCAATGTGATTCATACCCCCGAAACCCACACCCTCCCCCTACAAAAAAAAAAATGAAATAAATTGATAGATATTCAATTTTTTCACAAAGCCATCCCGCCGTCGCATTTAAACTGTTTACAATTGATTGTTATATGGTGAGACGCTGACCCTACTCTGTTATGATTTTTTACTGGTTGTTCAACTTCACTGAAATTTTTCTATGTCGCCTAATTTTCAGGAATAGAATATCCTGAGGGATGGCACTGTATTAGAAACAAGACATAGTTCAAGGAAACAGATTCAGTCAATTCAGGTCAGTTTATTATTGTATTTCCTTTTCCAGATTTTCCGAGAGACGGTTAACACTTATTTTACTTAATCCTTGTTGGGCTTAAGTTCAAGTTTTTACTTTCAATTTCGAAAATATTCTTTTCTGATTCGATGGCTGATAAGTGAGAAGCAAACGCAAAAGAAGATTATCTTTTGCTCATCAAAAATTCTTTAGCAAGTTTAGATCTGTTTTAAGCATTAACTGTGATTAAGGTGGCCCATTGTAGCTTATACCATTTTGCCTCTGAAATTCTAATATTTCACAGAGAATAGTGTCTAAAAGAAACATATATTTAAACCTGTGAAACGTTTTTCAATATACGGAGTCGTTTGAGAAGGACACCAAAACTAATTTCCACGGCAAAGTGAGGAGTGGTTTGACAGGTCCCAGTATTGTCCGGTGACATTGAGACACTCGTTGATTTAAACTTCTTCTTGGTGTACTCAGTTTGTTTACCCGAGAACAAAAAAACTAGGAGTGTTTTGTCGTGGCTAAAACATATGAATAAAGGAAGTTTAAGGTGTCGATAAATCCTAATCACTTTTTTTTTTTCATAATTTGTAACATTGTTTTCCCATAACTAAACTACTTTGAAAGGAGAAGGTTGGATCGAGAACTTTTGACTTATTTCTCTCTGAAGTTCGGAAGAAATCAGAAACAATTTGACGCCTCTTGAAATTGTTGTGACAACGATTTTTGACCTCGCGTGTATCTTGGTATCTTAAATGTCTTTATTCAACGCTTTCTGGGAACTGATGCAACTCATTTAAAGAAAAAAAAGAAGTAAAATTTTACGAGCCACCTCAATAATGCCGCCGCTAAATTACCTAAAGAATATATAGATTCTTGCACTGTATTGATAAGTAAATGCTATGTAACTAATAAAGTTCTACACCCGCGTGGAGCAAAAAAAAAGACTAGCGAAATTCGATCTAGGTAAATTTGTTAGGATTTGAAAATATTTTTTCGAAAGAAAATAACGCGAAGACAGATGAAAATTGTGCCATGAAATGGATTTTGTCAGGGATTGGTAGGGGAAATCGAAGCTTTTATGAAAAAATGATCTCGAATTCCCTGTCAGCTAATTCACCGAAGTGTACTTGGTTGAAACAAAATTTTAAGAATAAAGAAAATATTAGAAAGTTACAGATAAAGGAACGAGGAATGAAAATTGCTCGTGAAATCTCCCTGAATATATAAAGGTTTAATGATGAGGTTTGCGGAAAACCACTCAAAGTAAACCTTTTGCCGTGCGCCGGTTCAACCATTTTTGAAGTAAAACGGAAATATTTGAATCAACTGTACAGGAAAGATTTTTTAATTTTTGTTATTTCGATCTAACTCGCTCTTTTTCGTTTGCTGGGAACGTCATTCTTCATAAATTTTCTGTGCTGGGAATGACCAATAAGGAAATTTTTCCCTACAATATCAAAAGTTTGCAAGCCAAAAGGTAACGAGGTCAAGAATAGCACCCAAGAACTCGGCGCAAAATTCTCAGAACTAAAGTTATTCGAAATGTTTGGTAAATAGTGTGGAGAATTGATGCTTAGATCTTAGGAGTGAAAACGTGAACTGACTTTATTTATGTCATTTAAATGTATTTATTATTGGCAAATGCCACACAAGTGAATAGCGATTTTCGCGCACGCTGATTGGCTGGTTCTGAAGAGATTAGTAAGGACTATTCACTTCCGAGCAGCCGTTGAGACAAAGTCACGTGTCAAGAGTTTATTTTTTTGGTATTTGTGTGGTATATTCTAAAACAATGATTCACCTCAATGTCGTTGTAAGTGAAAGCAACCTATTGCTCGATTCAAACATATGTACTGAACAATTATTTGAAAAAGTAGAATTGCTTCTTCAAATGCAGATGATACATTTGTTTTTTGAGTCTGACCCAGCTTTGCGACACTCAGAAATATTTTGTAGGTCAGCAGTTTTAACATTTAAATATCTTTAAGTTACTCCTCCAAATGTGTTCAAGATTCCTTGGCTTTGAGTTTTAGCCGTCGCAACATGAAACTTGATAATCTAGCAAAATGGTTTTGGCTTACACAGCTGAAGAACAAAACAAGGTGAAAATTTTCAATAGATGGCATTATGGGTAGGTATAGGTAACTTCAGAGTATACTCGAAAGTACTGTTGCTAAACCATCTTTTAATATCTTTAGATGTGAAAGACCTCAAGATCATATGAAGCAAGATTCAAGAAACGATGATGTTAGAGGATTTAAGGAGTCTGTTGACTGAAATAAAGCTGATCAAAAATTACGTTTAACCCGATTGGGAAAATAATCGTGCCCAGGCCCAGGCGAAGGGTGTATGCGACGAACTCTGCATTACAAGTTTGCGCTTTTAAAAGGGCAAATCGCAATTAAAACAAAAAGTCTTTTGACGGGAAAAATTTTATGTATCATTGCTGAAAAACTAAGTTTTGGCCAAAAAAAATCTAAGTCTTTCGGCGGGAAAATTGTCCCTGGAAAAAAAAGTCTGCGCTTTTGAATTGTGTCTAGTGTTGATCCAAAAATATACTAAGTCTTTTGGCGGGAAAAATCTTGCTCCATGCTTACGATTTTCTCCTATCAAAAGTCAAGTATATTTTTTGTTTTAATTCTAGATGCTGTTCAAATCCGCAGAAATTTTTTTCCTCTCGGCAACCCTCCATACGCAAAAAAATGTAAAAGAGATAGCCTATATTTTGACTTGTTACCAGGCCCTTTTAAAAGCGCAACTCTTTTTTTTATTTATTTATATACTCAATAAAGAGCAAAAGAAGACTATAGTGGACACAAATTTTTTATTTGTTTGTATTTTCACTCACTTAATACAGTTCTTTACTTATATAGCAACGTTTACACAAGATCGTAACAAAATTAGTCTAACTCAAGAACATATAACTGAACAAGGATGAAACAATTAGTTCAAGAGAACGAAAAGATTAACAAAATCACAAGGCTATAATAACTAAGTCTTAGTGGCATTTTAAACAGTTCTAAGTTGGAACATTCCAACAAAAAAATTTAGACAATAACATTGAGAATAAATTAATATTCGAATTTTACACTGGATATTTCGACATACGATTGCTATCAATAGAACGCATTTCCAGTGACTGTACGGAAAACAAACCAAAATAAGTTCGATGTATTCGAATATTGAAAGAAAATCTCTACCCATTTAATTTACGTGATAATCAATAATACATGCTATGACGAGATTGTGAAATATTTCATGCCAGCAGGACGTTCTCCAAGTTATGCTACAAGATCTGGAGATATTTTTTTCAAGCCATTATTGTTTGTGTCCTTTCCAACAGTTTACACTAAATTAGAGAGTGTATTTTTTTGTCTTGCCAAAATATTTCCAATTATTTGTTGAAAACCAGCATTTAAAAATCCTTGACGTTTTTACTGCACTTGCGATGATACCAATTTTTAAGCAGTCACTGGAAGCGTTCCTCCCAACAGCTAACCTATCTTAGATTTTGATCATTTGAAAAAGATCGCTTGAATGTGTTTACCTTGCCAAATTAATTCCATCAGCGTTTGAGCTCCTTCACAAATGGTCTTAAAATTAAACAGAAATTTGTGACCGAATTCGTTCCGCGGAAAACGTATTTGGTAGGTCTAAGTTACAGTAGTTACCTCTAACACTGTTCTCGACCTTCTTTCTCCAATAATTAAGCTACGCTTTCTTCAGTTCGATCTTATCTTTTCCCTCAAGGCTTGTGTTCCACATCATCACAGCGTATCACAAGGATATCAAAGGACTGCAATATAACACAAACGAACATTTTAAAAATCGACGAAATGAAATTTCGACAATTTAGTCACAGGAAATAAAAGCTTTGTAAATAAAGATATTTCGCTTCTATCTCTTTGAATTTGTTTTCTAGACTTGATGATCATCATATGATCACAGTTCATTAAAACTTCAGCTTTGAGTAAAGGTCACTGTACTCATTCTTCAAAGGAATTGTTACATATTGATGAAAGTCATTTTTTTAAGTTCATTAGGGCATCAAAACCGTGGCCACCGGTAGTCACTAAAGGAGAAAGTGACTGAAACCCCTACATAAATTCGGTTGCGGAATCAAGTTTTCAAGAACCTCTTCATATTCAATAAATATTACGGCATTGCATCTACACTTTCACGATAATTCAACATTTCTAGTAATGTAGTCGAGAAAGATTTCCTTAGAACCCCACACTGTGGCTTTTTTTCGGGGCCAATTAGCCTTAAAATACGACACCTGAACAAAGAAACTTACAATACTCGACATTTTGAAATGATTAAGGACGTGCCCAGCATTTTCTCAAATACTTTTCCAAAACTTTTAATGCTCATTTTGAAATAAAAATTCTGTTCGATATTCTTCCTTGGCCAGTAAAAGAAATAGGGACTTATTCCGCAATTTTCAGTTAAAAGGAAACGCTTTGAAGAGACAACTCTTTTTTTCAAAGCGCAGTACATTCCGATCATTCTTTGTAAGCGACATAACTTTGTGCCCAGAGGTCGTCTCTGACGTACAATTTGCATATCCTTTGTATTAATTTTTCTTGCTGACACAAGCAAATACGTTATTACTTGACTGAACGGTTTTGGCTTCTGGCCTGACTGATTAAAGATGGTCTTGTGCTTATTTAAGAATAAAATTGCAGCTACATGTACAGATTGTAAACTTATTTTAAACAGCTTACCTCTTCGTAATTCTTTTCTTTTTTCCTTTTATTTCTGGTCACTCCCATGCTTTATTCCCGATGCTTCCTCCAGATTGCTTCATCTACTAGGGAAAAAAAACAATGCCGTTATTTTCTGAGGCAAAAAGAAAATAATCTTGACTTAATTTATCTTGCTGAGGTTTACGAGACTGCGGTGAAATGTTTAATGATTGGAAGAACACTCTCAAAGAACAATTAAGACGTTTTCTGCCTGCAATCCTCGTCCATGCGAGGAATATCGAGCGTCAATTCAGGGAGAATCATTCTTATCATGTTCTTTACAAGTTCGGTTTAAATTTACCGCCAAGCGATGACGGTCCTATCGAGCCATTTACGGGTTGGGTGGAATGCAATTTATTGATAAAGATTTTTCTCTAAAATGCTCTCAAATACCTTTTTTATCGCTATAAAACAAAGATATGAGAGTGGAATTGCTCCTTACGAACACATGTTCGGTAAGATTCTAACTATCAATTCACAATTCTCTCTAAATCGTTGAGCGCGTTGTACTGAACAAGTCAACCAGCTAAACGTACGAGTATCTTACCGTGTGTTAGATATTGAAATGGAAAGACCTTTTGGCCTGGTCGTCTTCAAAGAATAGAAGCAATGCTTCCTCATTACTTTCAGTCAGTTTTGAACGGAGGACTTGATAAATCGGCGAGTTTTCCTTGCCTTTCTTTCCCGTGAAGTAAAACAGTTGTCACAACGAGGAACCGTAAAATGGAAATGAGTTGACAGATATCACGTGCAAATTCAGCCTCGTGAAAAATACCTTGGGAGCGGGGCTGGTGTACATTTGCATCAACAGAAGCTCAAGGCTTTTGGCTCTTTCTCATAATCAACTAAATGGCTTTATGGCTCTATTTTCTCTTTAAGTTGATTTGCACGCACGTGATAAAAGAGGGAGGGGTAAAAATTGTAAGTGGTTGGGAAAGGGAAAAATGAAAGAGATGTTAAAGTTAAAAATAATATGGGATACTCAGTTCAGTGGATGATGTAGCCATGCAGAAGGTAAATATTTTTTGGAGGACTTGGCACAAAACAAAGGCTTATTCAGGCCTTAAGAAGGATTTCATGAGTGAAGTTCGCCGCAAAGGAGGCGTTCGGTACAAGAAAGTGAAGTCCATGGACATCAGTTGAAGTTTTTAAGTAGAACAACTTAAAGGTTTATTGACTGAGTGAGAATACGATGCGTGTTGAATACGGTTGTGCGTGTTGAAGTGGCAAAAACTCTGCGCCCCGGCTGCACCACCTGTGATTAAGTACGAACACAGTACACAAAAGGAAACGCGGCTTCCAATTTATTTTACATGTCTTAAAGAGTTTTTCGCCATGATTTACACTGAAAACTGCACATCAAACAGTTTATTGCAATTATCATTATTATTATCATGCCAAAGCTCATCTTCGACTGCAAGAGGCTACAGATTCACCTCCCAACGAAAAAAGCTGCACCCTCTTTTAGCCTTTTTATCAGCAGAATTTGTCTCATGACCTAATCTACCATGACTTAACGAACACGTAAAGAAAGCTCTGCCTTGATTAGGTCCCGGATTAACGACAGACCTCCGACGAGTGCGGCGCCCACACTGACACAGCGGTGGAGTGACACCGCCTCTATTAAAACAAACTATGGGTGGGGTGACAGAGGAATTCACTTTTGTCGTAACTGAGGGAGGGGTGGAGAGGTTAGTTTTTTTCTTATAATTGTTATACTTTGTATTAAATCGACGTGCGAAAGTACAGTTCTCATTGTTCAAGTTTTGTTTCTCTCCGTGCTTTTCTTTAAGAGGAGCTTTATTTGCTTGGACAGTGAGCGAAGGTGTTGTTGCAGCGTTCATTTCAATATTTCCTGGTTTGCATGGCTTGGAGCTTTCGTTTTGTCCAACTCCACGGGATGTTTGTTGATTGCTGTGTTCCAGTGCTGTGGAATGCTTGATGCTAAGAGTTTGTTTCACCAGTCCTCTCTTCAAAAGAAGCCCCGAACCTGAGGATTTGGGTGTCTCTTGAGTAAATTCTCCGTAATTGCTTCTTACTCTTTTCGTTAAATTTGACAAGCTTGTTAAAGGAGCGATAAGACTCTTTAGAGTGCTGTCGAAGCTCTCATCGGATACCAGGCGAGCATTTGCGGCAGCCAATCCTACAATATTCTGTGGCGCCCTCCTTTTTAGACCAGTTACAGGAGGCATAAGTCTCGCATCATGACCGTCTTTAAGCTCACTTCCTTTAATTTCCGCGGAGTGATCTTTCCCCGCGATCGTCACTTTTCCAAGTGAATAATCAACCGCAGCTTTTTCGTTAACAGCTTCATGGCGTTGCCTACCAAGCCCAGTAGTTTCTCTTCCGCTCTGACGCTTCGCTTGCCCAGAGGAAACGCGTAAACTTTTGTATGTCTTTCTTTCTGGAAGTTTAGATTGTTGAACTTGAAGCTTTCGGGTTTTTGCCTCTGTTAAAGAATTCACTTTGCCTTCATAGGAATGCTTGAGAAAAGTTCCAGTTGTGGGTTCCATGTCTTGTGTAGCCAATGAATCAGTTTTCAAGTAACCATTCTTAG